TTAAGGGGATGCTGGAGACAGGTCTGTTTTACCACGAAATTTTCAGACACACAAATCTTTTGATTGATTTCACCGAATTACAAATTTTTTGTCCAGAATTAAAGTATGGACGATAACGAAGACGGCAGGCACCAATTGCGTATGAAAAACGAAAAAAAATTAGAAAATTACATTTTTATTTTTGATTCTGCGGTCGACTCATGACAACATTTGCTGCAGATAAAAGTTTTAGACTGTGTACGTATACAAAAACCTTGCCGTCACGGAAATACAATAAAGAAGAATCCTGTGCTTGCAGAAATGAGCTGCGAGCTTTAGTATAAGAGAAAAGTATGTTAGAAAATTTCATATGCACATGTTACGCGTCTCCCCGATTTCAGCCAAAAACTCTGCGTTCTGTATGTATGTGTAAGAATCGGTGAGCACTTCTTTATCGACGCTGGTCGAGTTTGCCTGCGCTCTGTATGTATATGTAAGAATCGGTGAGCACTTCTTTATCGACGCTGATCGAGTTCGCCCGTGACTCCAGCATCCCCTTAAAACTACAAGATGACATTACTGGGATAGACTTCATGGTCCGTCCGGCTCTCTGGTCCCAAACGGATACCGTCTTGTCTCCGCTGGCGGACAGGATGTATTCCGTGTTCATGGCCAACTGAGTCACGTATTCAGTGTGGGGTCGGTACTGGTAAATCGGCTTATTACTCGATCTCGAATCAAACACGTCTACTGTCCCGTAGAATGAGCCAGCCGCAAAGAGGGCCCGCTCCGGACACGAAGACACGCACTTGAGCTCATCAGGAGCACTCTTTCTGTGAAGTTAGACCCGCATTTTTTTAATTTTATATTTTTATTAATTGTACTATACATAGATTGTTCTACATTTTTTGCTGTTTTGTGGCAAACCTCATCTTGACAGCTAAGCGCATATTTTAAAAAATAACAAAAAGCAAAATCTCTGTTAGTCCCACACTTGTTGAATTTAGAGTTTTTTTTTAACTGTGCTGCATTTGACTGTAATTTTGCTAATTTTTGTAACAAATACCAGAACAATATTTAGAATTATAATCAAGAAAATTGAAAAATATAAAATTTTTAGCACCGTACTATTTCCCCGATTAAGCTCAATTTTTTTGTTTGTGTTAAAAAGATGCTAATCTGAGCTTTGTGTTGAATATATCCATTACTAGAAAAAAATCGAAAAATAAATATAACAATTATCAAACATGGTTATAATACAATTTATTGTATTTCTACGAGTTGTACATGCTATATTGTGCTGATAAAAGAACACAAAAAAAACAATAGCCATAATTCAAGGTGTTAATAAAAAAGTCAATCATAAGGGAAAAGGTAAAACAGAAATTTGACATTTTTGAATTTATCGAGTACTATTTACCATGTTTACTAATATAAAAAAATATAAATATAAAATATTCATTCTTTGTATTTAATAAAAAATATTCATTTTTTATATTTAATAAAAAGAACTTTTAGAAACTCTTGCATTTTTGCAATATATCCTAGAGAGATTATATGACATTCATAGGTAAAATATACGCTTTATAAAAAATTACAAATAATGTTTATAAATAAGGCAATAAAATGTCATAATTTAAGTTGTAAAATGTGTGTAAGAATAAGTTTATTAAGATGTAAGAATGATAGACAAATTATAAAACTGAAAAATTTTAAAAGGAAATTAGAAGAGCGATAGATGCATTAAAAACTATTGTTATACGATCCAAAAAAAGAAGGAAAAAGAACACATAGGAGATTTCGAGTTTTACAAAGTGTCTCCACTATGACATAAATCCCGCATGCTAACTTGCCGTTGTATATTCTAAACAGGAAGGATATACGAGATATTAAGTTAAACAAAAAATACAAGAGTTATGCACTTGTATTTTGCTGTATTCCATCATTTACTATCCCTCTACACTTATGTATCATAAAATAACCATTATACCTTTTACATTTTCTACAGTAATCATTTTACGTAAGTCGTAACACAAGATTGCGCTTCTTACTACGACGAGAAATCGATTCAACTCACGACAGTTAATGTTAACAGTAAAGAACTGAAATTACAACACAATATTAATATGGCATAAAGGCACATAACAGAATAATTGCGAGCAAGTACCTTTATTCCTTCTATTTTTTCTAACATTTGCGGCGTAAAACCCCGCGCGGCGTAAATACCGGAGTTACTCTAATCTACTAATTGTGTAAATTGCGTTGAGTTATGCTAAGCGAAACAATCGAGCGACAATCGAAACAAGTACAAAAGAATTAAGAGAGTTGAAAAAATTCAACAAGAGGGGTAGAAAATAAAAAAACGTTGACAGCATAACTTTTAATAATTTAAAAATGTCAAATTTTTGTTATGTTTACTTTTCGACTTTTTTCTAATAAATAGATAGATTATATATCGATATTATTCCAATGGCACAACGTGGTATTAAGTTAGTATCTTTTTGTTTAGTCTTGTTATATTTATTTTTTAATTTTTTTCTACTAAATGAATAAATATATCAATGTTTTTTCAACGGTACAACATGACTCAGATTAGCATTTTTTTACTACAAAAAATTCAATCTGGAAATAGTGCTGAGCTAACAAAACTTTATATTTCTTAGTTTTCTTGAATACAGTTCAAAATATTGTTTCCGTATTTGCGGCAAAAATTAGCACAATTGTAATTCAATATGGGGGGTACGGCTAAAAGAAAACTCAAAATTCAACAAATGCGGGGTTACCTTCCCAGAGGTCACGCTTTTGAAATATTTGACGTTGATAAAAAGAATACGCGTGAAGTGGTAATATGAAGCTGGCAAACACTGCACGATATTAAGCTTTACACTTCGAAAATAAGCACAGCAAATTCCGTATGCCGGCACACATTAATCGCTGAAAATATTTAATGTCATACAAAACGCATATCAAGTATTCTATGAATTCTATCTGATGTAGTCTAGCTAATTATTAATTGCGGTGGCATATTGAACCCGAGTCGCTCGCGCCGCTATTTCTTCGCTCGAGTGTCGTCCTAAGGCCAGTTCAGCGAGGACAGAAACCTCGCGTAGAGCAAAATGGCAAAAGCTGGCTTGATCTCGATGTTCAGTACGCATAGAGACTGCGAAAGCACGGCCTATCAATCCTTTTGGCTTGAAGAGTTTTCAGCAAAAGGTGTCAGAAAAGTTACCACAGGGATAACTGGCTTGTGGCGGCCAAGCGTTCATAGCGATGTCGCTTTTTGATCCTTCGATGTCGGCTCTTCCTATCATTGCGAAGCAGAATTCGCCAAGCGTCGGATTGTTCACCCGCCAACAGGGAACGTGAGCTGGGACGTCGCCGGAAGCTAGAAGAATGGCATGCAAGCGTAGGGGTATATAGGGCGCGCGACTTCATGTACACGGCCTTCGCGCCGCGCGCCGCGGCCCGCGGGATAAACAAAGGAATTAAACGCTCGAGCTGCCCGAATTGTTACTACGTCACGCAACGAAATATTTAAATTGTTACAAGTAACAATGTACGGTGTGCGCGTTTAATATACGATATCTCGTGTTTTTCAAAGTTATGGATTCGGTATGGATTCGTTCATGGATTTCTGTCGCGTATGTTACTTAACGATATTTTTTAAAAATTATTAAGTGCCTCGCGCGGCTTTTCGGACCTCTTTTTTCTCGTCGATCGCACTTTAATACCAACATTCTAAAACTTTTTATCGCTTGGGCGCTCGGTGAAAAAGTCGAAGCTCCGAAATGCGCGACGGACGACACTGATCAACTCTCGAGAAATACGTTCATTTCAACATTGTTATGTATTCTTTAATATTAGGCATGCTCTCTCAGGTGTGAAACCTGAGTTTCGCCTATCTTATTATCCAAGTTTATTCTTCTATTAACTTTTATTATCTTCTAGTGTCTCTACGGATGCATAATTAAATTCTTGCTATTTTCTAATTATAATTTAAAACATTTTAAAAACATAGTATTTTATTAATCTATTATTAATATTGTTATTAATTATGTTTTTCTGAATAATTCATGCTAACACAAAAAATGCGGCACAAAGATCAAATGTAAATCTAACCAACCTTTTAATAAAACTTTGAACACAATAACAAACCTTAAATCTTTGTACAGTTGTAGATGTAAAGGTTGGAAAGAAGAAAAACTCGCGTTGATTTATTTGAAAAATATTTAATATTAAACATTGACGATATACAGAGAAAATACGTCGTACGCCATAAAAAGTCGCTATGAGATTAATAAGAACTGCAGGTCCAGACTTTTACAAAACATGATCAAATCAGACAATGATAAAGGTGTCACGTGTCACACCTTACATTCCTACCAATATTTCACAAATAAAATTCATCGACCATATACCATAAAATCACCTTTTTAAAAAAGTTAAGAAAAGGGCGCCAAGTGTTCGCGCCCTATTGTGCGTATAGCTATTGCGCGACTGAAACATTATTGTTTTAATCTATTTTTGCTATAAAAGTAGTGATATCAGACATCGTGCCAAGTGAGCGTGAATTTATACATATTAAATTTAATCCTTTCTCACATAAATATGTAATTTAATTCTTCTATCGTACTTAACAGAATAATAAAATATTTAATGTAAAAGAACTTGTTAATGAGCACAAAAAATTATGTTTACCATGATATTTAATTTTTTTTATATTATGCCTATTAAAATAACAGAATACTTTATCATAAAAAAATTTGGCGTCCGACTCGGAATATTGTCTTATCATCCGGCCATTAGCGGCGGCTGCTTAACCTCGTCATAGATATGCTCGACTCTTTTGTCGTTCATGCCGCTTATCACGTTGTGATACACATTCAAGTTTGGATTTTTTACATGGTCGTCCTTCTTCTGCAGGTAGTATCGCTGACCGAACGTTCCTGAGTAGTAACATCTATATAAGTTGATGTAATTGTCGTGCAAAATTGTCTTTATTTTGTCGTTTAAACATGTCATACCTTTGGAATCGTCTTCGTCGGTACAGCTACTTATGTCGAATTTATCCTTCTCAGACTTAGCCGTGTATCGCACTTGAGCCATCTCGTTTTTGACAGCCATTCTACGACGACGATACCTCCATGCAGCTAACAAAGCGCCAATTATAACAATAATCGCAAGTACGCCTCCGATATACTTATATCTTCCGTCATTTTTCTCTTGGATATTACGGGAGAACAGTTGTTCGTCGCAATTCTCACCTACAGAATAATTTCTCAGTCTCATTAAGTCACTGTACGATTCCGAAAAAACCTCAATTCTTCATGCAGAATTATTATTATTTTTTTTAAATGTACTCTAAGTACCTGTATACCCTTGCCTGCAAATACAACCCTCGACTGAATGGCACCTGAAGAATTCGTTTTTACATTCGCAAATCTCCAAACAATGGTGACCGTAGTACCCCTCGGGACAAACTGCAATTGGCAAGCGTTGCATTTAAATATAATTTATCAATATATAACATAGTTTGGTACATCATTCCTTTCTGGTAGTAACAGTTTACGGCTTTCGGTAGCTAAACCTACTTTCGGTACACATGGTCCCGGTCCATCCCGGCGGACATTGACAATGGCCATTCTTAAGCCTGCATTTACCGTCGTTCTGACACTTGCAATGCTGTGTACAATTAACGCCGTAAGTGCCCTCCGCGCAGGGTATTTGACAGTACTCGCCTTGCCAGCCAGGTCGACATTGGCATACACCTGATTAGAAAATACACCTCGGTATAATAAAAAGAATTAGAGTAGACGCATTTAGACGAATGTATATCTCAGGAAGATTCTCTTGCGAGCTCTCGACTTGCCTGTTACGTGATGACATTCCCCGCCGTTCTTACAGTGACAATGATTCGAACAATTTAGCCCGTAACGATTGAGCGGACACGGATGTTCGCAGGTGAGACCCAGGTATCCCGTACGGCAAACGTACTCGCCGGTAACGTGATTGCAAGTCATATTTTCTAAGGAGAAAATGATGATACTTAAGAATTTATCGCGATAACATAGAAAAGTTTACTATAAATAAAACTTTATACATATATCGCCTGTTAATTTTTAGTAACACGTTC